GGGGATTGCCTTTTGAACGACATGGACGATTCATCAACTCCCCCTCACAAGAAAGTACGGCTAGTGTAGCCGTGTCACACACACACACGCACACACACACATGGACATACACTCCAGTCCTGCTGGTGGAAGCATTATCACTTCATATTGCAAGGAGAAAAGAAAAAAAGAGCTTCCCTGATGAATGTTGCAGCAACTCTGTAAAAGATGATACACACCCCAACGTGAAGGTGCATTTGTGCAGGGTGGAGTTGGAGGGGGGGACTTTGCAATGACCTGATAATAGAAGAGGGGGATTAGGGACAGCGCTGAGCCCCAGAGGTGGGTAAGGCAGAGGGCAGAGAGTGGAACAGAAGAGGGATAAGGGGATAAAAAAAACAACAACAACATTCTTTTATTCTTATCAGTGGATGGCTTAATTGCCTTTGATGAGTCTAATTGGAGCTTTTGGAAGTCTAATGGAGGAGGGGTCCTCAGAGACGGCAGGAGACACATTACTGTAATAGCTTCTCGGTGAATCTCCTCTGCACCAAAAGTTCCCTTCATGTTTCCTCTGTCCAGAGTTGCAGCTGAATAGTTGTCCATGTGGTGGCAGCTGGAGTATCAGTATTCACCAGCTCAGGATGTGTGTGTGTGTGTGTGTGTGTGTGTGTGCATAGATGGGGTTATGAGAGTGGTATGTTTGCAAAGCAGCAGTAGCAGCAGTATTGGGTACGTGTTGACTTAATTAGGTCTGTGAGCTGCTTGCTTTCCTCTCCTCAGCAGAAGTTGATTAGCAATGCCAGCTGTCCCCAATGTAATTCAGAGCATGCGTGCGCGTGTGTGTGTGATTGCGGTGTAATATACGAGCGGTGTGCGGCTGTGTTGATGTTTGTGTGCTAGCTGCCAGCTGCCACACGGTGCTGCCAATCCTCTATGATTAGTACCCACTGGCAACTGGGCTCAAACTGGTGCCAAACAGACCCAGGAGGGCATCATGGCCCATGGTAATACTCCATCGCTTTCTCCTCTTCTTTGGACCACCTCTCTTTCGCTTCACTCGCATTAGATGCTTGGTTTTTTTTTTGTATGTTTGTTGTTGTTGTTCCCCCTTCAAAATGTTGTGCCGGCCAGGTTCCTTCATTTTCACAGGAAGACACAAAGAGCTACACAAGACATGCTAATACAACAACGCAACGGTGGCCGAAATGAATTGTGAGGAAAAGTAAGGCCCCGGTCGGTTGTGTTGCCGTGAAGATGCCAGCACCACAGTGTCCAGCTCCCAGCGGACAACCTCTCACCTGTTGAGATTCATGTCTGTGTCTCAGCAGAGGCCAAGAGGCAGCAAGAACAAAAAGGCGTTAGCCAAAGGAATTCGTTCAAAGATGCAAGTTTTGAATAAGTGAATGTGACAAGGTGAAAGAGTGCAGCTTATGCATACACTTCCTGCATGGCTGCTACATAAACACTCCTGCACGACTTTACTGCACACTGCTCCATGGGATTGGCAGACTGTGGGGTGTTGGACAGCTCCGGCACACCAAAGGCTGCACGCCCATCTGCCCCCTGTCTTAGTAATGCAGTTATTTTTCAGCTCACTTGTGTGTGGAGTCCAGCCACACATATGCACAAAGAAACACCAGCGCACTATAGCAGTGTGTATCACAAATCCATAGCTGCAACTCGTGGACACGGGCTGTGTCCATGTGTTGCAATCAGGACACACACACAAATTGCATGGTGATACGCCTCACACGCTCTCCCAGTTATGATTTTGTCAGATGTTGGCCATTCCAGTTGGAGCTTACTGCCTAAGTCTATCGGTGGTTGAGATTACAGACAGATTTATGTGATTCGCCGTCTCCCCAGAGGACCAGCGGCCTTGCAATGGTTAATCACAGCTTTACTCTTGCTACCATTCTTCCACCACACGGCTGTAACTCTAACGTAAGTGTTCGTGCGCATGCTTGTCACACTTTAGGTGTAGAACGCTTCCTTCATCGAATGGCGCCTTCGACAGGGGTTAATTCTCAATAATCCCACTAATCAAAAGGTTAAACCTCCCTCTGACCTTCCCTTGCTTCATAAAACAGGGCAAATTCTTTTTTCTCCTCAGATCAGCAAGCTTGTCCACTGAATTATTGAGTCGCTGTATTGAACTTTAAATTGTTTAGCATGCATGTTTTTTTTTTTGCTCCCCTCCCTCCAGAAGCAGTGGAGAGTGATGAAAGCACATAAAGCATGCACCTCAACACTTTTGGCAGATACAGCAAAACCACATGCGACTAAATAACTGTGTTGAAACTGTGTTGACCTGATTGTATGGAGTGAGTTTTTTCCTCCCGTCTTTCATCCGTAACGCAAATACTTAGGAAAAACATGCCAAAATTAAAGGCCGAGCATTCTTCGATGACATATTGCACATATTTCATGCCAGAGTTTTAAAGCTAAGTTATGATGACACATGATGTCGTTACAGCCATTGTGGTCAAACTGTAAATAAAGTGCTTCAAGTATGAGCTGAGGATGAATCTTAGTTCAATATATGTCTGACTTGAGTTATTGCCATTTCAGCTTCAGCTGATTAGCTGTGACGGCCATCTTAAATAATAAATAGTAACTAAAGTGTTATGTGTTGTCATCATTGTATGTTCTCATACAATGGTGAAATTGGTTCTCTACATTTAACACATCACACCTGGGATACACCCAGGTGGAGCAGTGGGCATTTATGTAAGAACCCAGGGAGCAATTAAGGATTAGGTGTCCTGCTCAGAGGCACCGTGACATGTGATGGTTGGAGATCGAGTCTGGGACTTTCGGGTCCCGAGTCGGCTGCCCTACCTCTACCCCATCTTGAATTGGGATGACTTAAAAAAATAATGGGTTGGAGATGTACAGTAGTCCCTCGCCACTTCGCGGTTCGACTTTTGCTGACTCACTAATTTGCAGTTTTTCAAAGTCAGATTGTACATACACAACAACAACAAAAAAAGATTGTATACAATACACAATTGTAAACTTTAATATTACTCACATGGTTGGGACAGTACGGAATACAGTAAAAAGTTACAATAAAAAGTTAACAAAAAAAAAACAATCTTCGGACAGGCACTGTAGTTTTCTCTCAATAAGCCTATACTGTATCACCAGTCAAAAGGACTACATTACCCAGAAGCCAACAGCACTTCCTGTCTGCTGAAATGGAGGGAAAGTTTGGATCCGATCCGAACCTGACTAAAAAGTTTGGTCCTTATTCATAGTGACTTAGGCGCTCAGTGGATGCAGAGAGCCGTACGGAACTGTCTGGGAATTGGACCAGAATTATTTCCAGCTTCATCGGTCACTCTGAGTGCTGCTTGCAGGCCCATGAGGCCTCTCAAGTGGGGAGACGATGCTTAGTCAAGTCAAATGTATTTATTTAGCACATTTAAATCAGTAATTGTTATCAAAGTGTTTACAGGTCTGGTGTCTTTCTGGAGCTCACCCAGACTTTTTTCATTGGATCCCTCTGGATTATTTGGACTCTATTGGGACCATTGTGTGGTTTTCTGCTGGTTATATGAGGGTCTGGCTCTCTCTAAAATCGTCTTGGTGCTCAACGGCTGCAGAGAGCCAGTCAGAACCGGACCAGAACCAGACCAAGGCTGGTGATTACCCAAATAAAATTTTGCAGTAGAAGCTGTGAAGTATGTATGTTGTTAAAATGATGTAGGTTTAAGAGTTTAGAACATTACAAGAGTGTGGGAAAGTTTATAAAGCATTAATATATATATATACTAAAATAAATATAGCGTTCCTACTTTGCGGTTTTTCACCTAACTCGGTAGGGTCTGGAACGTAACTCCCACGATAATCAAGGACTGCTGTATATCCAACGTTTACGTTCTGAAAGATCACTAAAATACATCCAGTGGTTCATGAGACATTTTGCTAACAGAGAGACAGGGTTGACGCCAACGATTATTGCCAAAGTTGTAATAATGTACTATGTATTGTCATCATTGTATGTTCCCATACAAAGGTGAAATTGGCTCTATGCATTTGAATCATCCACCACCAGGTGGAGCAGTGGGCAGCTATTGAAAGTGCCTGGGGAGCAACTGGGAATAAAGTGTCCTGCTCAGAGACACCACCAGATGTGCAATGACCAGGGATCGAACCCAGTAACTTCGGTCCAGAGTCGTCTGCCCTGCCTCTACACCATATCTGCCCCCAACTGGACTGTAACTGTATTGCACAATCTAAAAAAGTTAAGTCTGGTCCTCTGGACATTCAAAAACAAAACAAACAAACAAAAAAATACAAATGTTTTGTCTTTCATCGGAAATACTTTTTCAGTCAGCTCCTCAGACTGAAGAAGTCTTTTGGATGAAAGACAAAACATTTGTACTTTTTTGTTTTGATTTCTTTTGTTTTGATTTTTGAATGTCCAGAGGACCAGACTTAACTTTTTTTAAATGTTTCTACCTGGATTATTGAGCACGCATCAGGATGTATTGCACAATGTGTAGCACTTGATGTATGTGTTGGGGATGATGCCCAGCGACTACCACACCAAATTTTAGCTGTTACAGCCCTTTTTGTGTTGACTAAGCTGTTTTTTTTGTTTCTTTGTTTATATAATTTCTTCTATTTACGTTTCATTTTATATGCTTTTTATATGGTTGTCCGTTGCTGTCTGTACCTCACCTGTGTTATTTTCTCTCTTGTAAACGAGTCCTCGTGGCTCAATGAGACTAACCTGTATAATTGACTGAATGAATGATAAGCTGTTTCAGCCATTGTGAATGGGGTTGACTCCAAAAGTTAATCAGTTGTACAGTCGATGCAAATCATTCATTACTTTTTAATATTCTGTGAAATCTCTGTACTGGTTCAGGAGATGTTTTTGCTAACACTGCAGACAAATCACCACACAAACAACACTTTATCACTATTACCTTCAGCAGCAGGTAAATTCACTGCATCGTCTCTTTAGATCGCAGCAAGCTGGTGTCATTAGTGCACACGTGTAGTACCTGTGTAAATGAAGCGTCCAGGTGTGCCTTTGCAGAACTGTTTCGATTTGTAGGACAGTGTGACTTCCACCACCCCTGGGATGTGCCTTGGCGGAGTCTGCACACGGATTGCATGGGGAGTGATCAACTATGAAAGAAATGGAGAGGGTCAGGCAGATTAGTGTAATGAAACTTTATAGCTTAAATGCTCGTGTTGTGGGACTATTCTCCACTTGTCTCGGTTTTCTTCTTTGTAGCTCTGAGCCTCTTTCTGACTATAATAAGCCTGAAAATGATGTGTCGGAGCTAAAGCCCTCAGGTGGCCTTGTGGCCCCAGGCAATGTCGCTGCGAGGCTGAGGATGGTTATCAGTGCTGACATGAACTATGTAATAAGGATTCAAAAGCAGTTATGTGTTTATGAATAAAACAGACTTCTCCCTGCATACATCTATTAAACAGAATAAGTAAATGTATAATACGCTTGTCTTGACTGGCCCTGTCTCTGTGTCTGTCAGCTGAAGCTGTCTAGCTGCCACTAGCCACATAAAAGCACCACTGTGTCTTAAAGAGGCTCACTTAGTGAGGCTTATGAGCCCACTTGCATAGTGCGTGTGTGCGCATGTGTGTGTGCTGAAGGCACTTTAAAGGAAACCGGTAACATGACAAAACGCATGAGGACCTCGCTGAGTGTTCGTTTTCCACATGCTACAGTAAGCTAGCACTCAAAGCTAGAAGCGCTCAGAAACTATCAATGCTGCTGCCAGCAGTGTGCAGATGTGTGTGTGTTGTTATAACTAACTGTCCCTTTCATTTCTCACTTAGCTAGGCTTTCATTCCACCATTGTTTGGCCCTGCTCACCCCTCAGCGCAATAATACAGGAGCTTTTTATAGAATTATTTCTTTACTAAAGAGAAAGCTGTTTAGCTGCTCCTACTCGCTGACCTCCAGTTTCTCATACACTGCATTTACATTTTAGTAAGGCGGCAGATGCTCCTTACAAAGGGATTCAGGCTGTAGCATGTGCACATATTTCAAGAAAGCAGGTATAAACGCAGCCTAATAAATGACAAGGGGAGGTGAACAGGGAGCTACAAAAACTGCTGCTCAAGGTTGTAAAATATTTCTTCCATCCACTTACAGGCTGCACTTATTTATTGCTTTAATTACAGAACAGTCCATTTATTACTTTTTAATAGGCTGATTTTATTGTTAATTTACAAAGTCTGGCAAAAAAACAGCACTTCTGAGACTCAAGCTAGTCATCTTTGCTTGTTTTGTCAGTGAGATAAAAACAGGTTTTTGTCTGTTCTGAACAACAGGGTACAAACAAATAGCGGGATGTATGTAAAGAAATCATTGAGAGGGTATTGAAAAAAAACCTCCTTAATTGACAACCTTGAGACTACAGATATGTTTAACAAAAAGTATTAGAAGTAATGAAAATAATGCAGAAAAAAGTCCTTTGTATATGTTTTTTCTAAATAAAAAATTAGTGGTCCCACAATTGGGGTCAATACCCAAATATGAGATGAAAAATTAAATGAGGTCTTGACTTGACTTCCAGAAACACAATTAAATTAAAATTGTCATTGCTAAAACAAATTTTCCCATAATTCTTTTGAAATGTAAAAGATTAAGTTGTAAACAAATGGTGGATTTTCCCATGTGTAATTTGCCCATAGCGATGTTTGTATGTCAGCTAAAGATGGTCATGGTTCTCTGGTGTTGTTATTTAGTGGGTCTGAAGCTGGAAAGCTTGGGAACCATTGGAATAAATTGATTATTACACATGCAGTTTTTCAGAAACAACTTTAAATGTTGCACTTGCTTTTGAATCTAACTAACTTTATGATATAGTATTCTAGTTATTGTTTATTAACCTTTATTTAACCAGGCAAATTCCATTGAGATCACAGATCTCTTTTGCAAGGGAGGCCTGGACCTGAAGGCAGCCTAACATGCATGTTTTTGTTCTGTGGAAGGAAACCAGAGTACCCAGATAAAACCCACACAAAGACGAGACGAACATACAAACTCCACACAGAAAGACCCCAGGTTCAACCGGGGATTGAACCCAGGACCTTCTTGCTGTGAGGCAACTGTGCTAACCACTGAGCAGTCGTGCTGCCAAGGTTTGATCAATAGGAAGGAAAGAAATGCTCCAAAAGTCCAAATATATTTTTTGTACCTATCTACTTTAACTAACATACTAATCAATAATACTTTGCTGGAGTTAATTGAAATCCCACCTAACAATTAAATAGTTTGTAAAGTTGTCAGAAAAATACATGGATGTCAACTGCTGCTTCTACAGGACATTTGGCAATGAAAGCCAAAGACTCAAATAACGCTAAAGTATCATAAATTTACAGAGCCATACACAACACACGTATATGCTTCAGCCATAACCAGAATATTTATACAAATGGGTTATATTAGAAATTAGATGTGGACTAACCTCACTCCAGACTAGCATGGTTCCAAAAATGACCTGGAGGCCATCAAAAAAGTTGTCCCCGATGATGATGACTGTAGCGCCTCCAGTGGTCCAGCCTTCACTGGGACTGATGGCTTTGATGCTGGGAGTTGCTAAAAAAAAGTCAAACATTAGAGATGAGAGACTGAATACCCTAATGAAGAGGCAGAATGGTCTTTTCCATTGGCCATATGTAAAGTCCACTCTTCTTTTTCTTTCCATCTCTCTGTCTTACACACACATAGTCACACATAAATCACCTTTAGCTTCTCCTCCCCCAGGGGTTGGCGGAGGACATGGAATTCTAATCAGAGTGATTATACGCGCCACCGTTATTAAACATCACCCCTGCCCCTGTGTGTGAGGGCAGCGGCAGTGCGCTTGTTTTATGACACGTGGCAAAGCGTGCGGGTGTGTAAATGTCAGGTGTGCTCAGTGTCTGATCAAAGGCCATGCGACCGGGGAGCCAGCAGAGCCAACAGTAGCTCTGCCCTCTGAATTCTCTGCCTTCATTAACCGAACACTTAGCTCAACTGTCCGCCTCACATTTCTATCCCATGGCCTACTTGGTAGCTGTATTTGTAAAAGTGTTTATGGTGATGTAGATGCTTTTTCTTGAAATACATTGAGCGGGTCCAGGAAGTAGCAACATATTCAACAACTGATCTTCAGTGTGCTGTTTTATACCTCAACTCTTGATGTTACGGACTTGGAGATTACGAGATGCGATTGAAGAAAAGAACGGCGTTGGGGAAAATACGTATTTATACAAGCTTAATCTCCTTTCTTTAACAGATATGCATCTTGTCAGACACGTTGTAATTCTGTAAAGCGGCATAATCCACTTTAGACTAGGCCGACTTTTTTTCCCCACAGCCTCGTCTTTGCTCTTTGCCTCTGACTCCCTGTTCTGTTTATCCTCCCAACAAGCTGGAGTGATATTTAGCCCCCTGATATGCCTGTAGAGATCAGTGTTCACCGAGCAGCAATCTGTGGCCGTAATCATGGTCCTAAGATGCCTCCCTTTCCCAGCCGCAGATATTATGTGCTCTTGATGTGCATGTGTGTGTTTTATGTGTGTGTGTGAATTAACCAGATGGTGGAACGTGAATCCATGTGATAGGATTATACTTCGGGGTGTTCCTCTGTGCCATCTGTTCAACTTTACGCACTGCTCATCTATTACCGGTTGAAATGGGTCCCATAGTTGTGTAACCGCCACACAAATATGACACTGGAGTAACAAGAGAGAAGACGAACACTCTTGTGTGGTTCCAAAAGAAGGAGGAAGGGTGAAAAGTGGGCTGTACGCACTTTTTGGACTGTTCCTACTGGCTGACTCACCATTAATGTTGCCTGTTAGTTTCTAATTAAACAAAGAACTTAAGAAATGACAGGTGGAGAAAGTTAATTTAGACCAATCTAGATTTACATCGTTGGGACAGTCATGCAATCTGGATTTCTCTCTTTCTGGATGGCATTGTTTTCTTCTTTTGGCTTTTTCCTCTTCAAGTGTCGCCACAGCGAACCATCCTCTGCATTCGCTGTCCTCACGCCAACTAACATCCTTCTACCAATATACCCACTCTCTGGACATGTCCAAACCATCTCACTCTGTCCTCTGCATCCTCTGTCCTCACTCCAACTCTCTCCATGTCCTCTCTAACTGTATCCATATGTCTTCTCTTTGTCTTTTTCCTGGCAGATGCATTTCTAACATCCTTCTACCAATATACCCACTGTCCCTCCTCTGGACATGTCCAGACTATCTCAGTCTGGTCTCTCTAACTTTATCTCCCAGTTGTTCAACCTGTGCTGTACCTCTGATGATCTCATTCCTAATCTTATCATCCTTGTCACTCCTAAGGAGAACCTCAACATCTTCATTTCTGCCACTTCCAGTTCTTTCTCCTGTCCTTTTGTCAGTGCCACTGTCTCCAGACCATACAATGTAGCTGGTCTCACCACTGTGTTGTAAACCTTTCTTTTGAAATTTACTGTCATCTTTTTCCACAAATCATTCAGGGTAGCATCATAATATGTATATTTCTCTTGTTATCGCTATGGCAAATGCAGAACAAAATTACATAACAAAAAGACATTATCATCTCAAATTACCAAGATATACGATGATCGATCTGGTTCTAAGTACCGGTAGTTCTCTTTAGGTCATTTTGATTAAAACCACTAATAATCACGATAGCTCAGTTACATTTGTGATTTTTGGCCTCAACAAAACAAATAGAAACTATGTTTTATTTGAATTGTTTCATCCTGTTTTCAGCTCTCGCTTTCATTGTCTCTTCTTGTCCCATCTTTGCTCCGCTCCGCTCTTTCCTTCTTTCAACTCTTGTCACTGGCAGAACAGAAAATCTGAGGCGAGGAAATTCCCAAACAAATCTTTCTGACACAGGGAACATCTGTTAGGTGTGTACTCCATTTCTCGTGCAAGATCCAAGTCGTGCTGACGTCTTCGATACATCTCATCTTTATGAACTTCTCTAATCTTCCGTGAGACCAGTCGTGAGGACAAGCGGTCCACTTTGTCTCCCGAGAACAGTCATCTGAAAGACTTAACTGCAACATTCAATCTTAATGCAATCTACTACAGGCCACCATGTAAATCCCTTCTTAGTTTTTTGTTATTATCATCCCTGAGGTTGACTTTCCTCAAAGAAAAAAAATATGTTTCTCTTATTCAATGTCTAGGAAATCAAAATGAGAAAATAACTGGATTAGGGACTTGGGAATCAGTGCAGTCTCCTAAATCATGTGCACATGTCATTATGAAGTATTAAAGGGCTTGTGTCTGACTGCGAGTGTGGGGGTGTACTTTCTGGTGCATGTAGGGGTGTGTTTGAAAACCTGCAGGATGGGGAGGATAGAAGGATAAAGCAGGTCTCCGAGGAAATAAAACCAGTGTTGGCTTTAAGCAGAACAGACCTCATAAGACACATGGTTCTTATGCGAGGCGGAGTAGAAGGCCCAGAGGCGCAGACCTGAGGGGAGCGAGGCACGAGGGAGAGACAAGACACTCAGGAGCTACCACTCACTTCGAGTTCCAAGCCCAACAAGAGAGGAAAGTGAAACCAAGGGAAAAATACAGGAAAGAGGCAAAAAAAAAGAAAGCGTGTTTGAGGGGATCAGAGGCAGAACGTGATGAACCTGACAGGCGAGGGAGGACAACAGAAAGAGGGAAAAGACAAAGAGAGCTACAACACAGAGTCTGGATCAGTTAGCTGCTGTTTTTAATACCGTGTTCCAGGTAGGATGGTGTCCCTTCTGAGGGGTCCAGTCTTCGAGCTCGACGCCCATGCTTGGAGTTGTTGTGCACAAACATGTTATCCGACACCGCCAGGACATGACCCTCAACGCTTACCGTAGTTGACACAACCACCTAGGAAATGGGAATTGAAAGGAACTGAGAAACTGGTAATAGAAAGCTCAACAGTGATTGTGTTGCTTACAAAACATGCAGGTGTTCTTCTGTCATTCAGTCTGTGAAACAGTTTTGAAAAAGATTTTGAGTTTTTACATATATAATTGAGGATGAGGAGTTCACTCGTAAGCATTGTTAAAGGGTTAATTCATTTGTTTTCAAGTGGGGTTCAATAACACCTGCTGGAGATAGCTTTTAATGACCATTACTTGGAAAACTGAGTAGAATTAAACTCTTTTTATTCAATTTGGGGTCATTTAAAGAGCAATCTAGAGCAGGTAAGATATTTACTGTTTATAATCTTTCCATTAAACTTTTTTTTTTTTTTTTTATCTTTCGGCTGCTCCCTTCTTCAGGGGTCACCACAGTGAACTAACTCACACAAAGACTTTGTGATTTTTTTTTTTACTCCAGATGTCCTTCCTGACACAACCACAGACCACTGAGCTACCACAGTCCTCTGTGTGGAGCAGAGAGCTGCTATCTAGGGGGTCCAGGGGAGCAGATGATGTGGGTTAAGGACCTTGCTCAAGGGCCCAGAGTAGGGCAAATGAGGGTGAAGGCAGATGTTGGTGTTTCACCTTTCCCATCCGCATTTTGATGTTTTTGGTCTGGGGAGACGAACTGGCAACCTTCCAATCACAGGCCCACCTTCTCTAACATCTGTGAAATCACTCCCCCAACCTTTCCACAGAACCAAACTTCAAAATATCTACCAATATATAATCTATAACTTTAATTTATTTTGTTTTGAACAAATAAGCCATAAAGATTAAGTAACAATATGGAATGACTGACCTTTGTAATGTAGTACAATGAACAAACAGCAATGATTTGCTCTATCCTGCACATAGTTTGTTGGGTTTTTTTTTTTTTTTTTTTTTTTTTTTTTTCATTTAGCCTTTATTTATCCAGGTTAGTCTCATTGAGCCACGAGAACTCATTTTCAAGAGAGACCTGTTTTAGGGAGCACATGGTGGGGGTTAAGGGCCTTGCTCATGGACCCAGAGTGGGGCGAATGAGGGTGAGGCAAGTGTGAGTGTTTCACCTACCCCACCCACAATTTTGATGTTGTCGGGGCCGGGGCGTGAACCGGCGATCTTCGGATCACAGGCCCACCTCTCTAACCTCTGCACCACCACTCCCCTAGTTTGTTGTTTTAGATTTGCTCTGACTGCCACCAGTTTCTAAAATATTGCAAGTTTTTAGTTGATATTCACTAGCTTTAATCTTTTGAGGGCTCCAAGCAACCAATGACCAGATTATTAAAAAACAAAAAAAAACAAACAACAGCTTCTAAACTAAAATCCCAATGTTGTGAGAGTTGTATGTGTCAAACAAAACTGTGAAGAAAAAAGTTATGCTTTGGTAAAGACTTTATTGGCGTCTTCAGAACTATTTTTGTTGAAGGTGCACTCCCTTAATATTATTAACAGTGAAGTTAGTTTTACATTTAGCTGTTAAAGTTTTGTTTTATTTATTTAATTTCTGGATGAGAGAAAACAAAAACTTTGAAATCAGCCAAATAATGAGATGTAGCAAATTATAAAGAGACTCCTTTGAGGGTAGGATGATTTTGTTCTGCAACAAAACACTGAAATTCACTTTAAAACACTGGAAGATTAGTTTTTGTGTCCTCTATACCAAGGCCCATCACACACTGAGTGCATTCAGACGGTCGGGGGGGGTCACCTGGAAGCGTCTCATGTCTCGGGGGTTCCCTGCGTTCTTCAGGCAGTTCTGGTTACACTTCAGGAAGAACTTGAGAAAAAACCTGCAGAGACACGGAGACGAGAGGGTCAGGTGAGCATCTGTGAGCAAGATCAGTGAGCATAACGATAAACCAAAACACAGATGTAAAAACAACGAGTCAAACCGCTGTGACAGACGAGGTTCACGCTCTCTTCAGCACCCATTTGTCAGCCCCCCATGTAAAAACCGTCTCCAAGACAGTGAGTAAAGGTGCTACCTTGCATATCCATCTCCGAGCGGCTGTCATGGCCTGCCATAAACTCACCGGGGCAGATGTAAGCCCCAGTCCCCTCCTCACCCCCCCACAGCTGTGTGCGACAGAGGTTGTACCGTAGCTCCTCTGCAGCACAGTGTTGCCATTCCTGCCTCTCTCAATCTCAGTGTGAGAGACCACATCAACAGCACCTGCCATGCATTATTAATAGGCTGAGATGGCAAGTATGGCTACCCACATCAATACTTAATGAGGGAGGGAGGAGTAAAAGGGGGAGAGTTGGTGCTGCTTGGGGGGGGGGGGGTGAAAAGCAGTAAAGGGGGACGGCAGACAATTTATTCCCTTGCCCCACCCCAAGGCTCAAGACCTGACAACTTCTTCTGTAAGTGAAACTGCAGTGGTGAACATCTGCCTCGTGCACCAGGTCTCACTGGGAGGAGAGAAAGAAATAAATGAAACCACTGAAACAAACAGTGCTGTGTACAAGCCTCACCCCCCCCAAAAAAATAAAATAAAATAAAAATTGGCGGGGTGGAGGGTGTAAAACTAAATTTCCCGCCCACTACCCGGCCCTCCTTCTCCTCCTCCTCCCTTTGAGGAAGCTCAAAGAAGTGCTGACAGCTGCAACTGCTTACAATACAGATCTCCGGCAGCCAGAGAGAGAATCACTCCTTTGCTCAGCTTTTCTTTCATATGTCTTATTTTCTCCCCACTGTTCATTTGTTATGGCTACGATTCTGCACTGGGCAGCGCGTTTGGAGCCAGCCAGCTCGGATATGATAGTGCATGTGCACATACACACATACACACACACACACACTCAGCGACGTGTCAAGTGAAACACACTGCAAGTTGCAGCCTTGTACAATTGCTTCATCCAGACAAAAAAAAAAAAAAAGAGAGAGAGAGAGAAAGAGGAAAGAAGATAAATGGACAGAGCAGAGTTATGTCTCATTTGGAAGGCCAGTCTACTGCTGGGTACATTACAAGCATCTGATGTAACACAAGAACTCGTGGATCCATCCCTGACGACTTTTAAATGCATGACAGCTGCTTAGTGGTTGATGCTCCTCCGCAAGTAAAGAAGGATAAATAAAAAACACCTCGTTTGATCTCAATAACAAACTCTTTCTCTGATACATATTTTTTTTCGCTCGCTCCCCTTTGGCTTTTTACCCCCCCCCCCCCCGATTTACGATCCGAACTTGGAGAGAGCAAAAAGAGGCACGATGTGCAAAAAGAACCTGATAGAAAGATAGACAAGGAAGACGGCATGTGAAATCTGAACAGGGAGACAGACCACCCTCCTGTATATTTTAGAGGCTGTAGGCCAAGATCTCAATAATTCATGAAGCGGAGAGATGGAGGTTTTTCCACTGTGCTGTTAGACCCCCACGGACTATGGGTCTCCCAACTTTCTTATCTCCTCAAGGTCAGAGAGCAGCCTTACAGACAGCTGTGAACTACATCCACTTGTCCAACACACTCCACCTTCCTCCACCTCGTGTTTAATTCATCGATTCCTCTTCCCGCCCCTCCTCTCAACAGCCCTCCACTGAGATCTCCATGATGGATGGATGATGGATAAGTGAAAGCAGGGAAGTTTGGGTTACTTCAGTCAGAGGTAACCAAATCAGAAGGTCAAATATTAGAATTTGGAGGAAGAATAAGGAGGTAGTGTTCAACTAAATCTGAGACGAGCTGGAGAGAGTCAACAGCTGTGACAGCTCGTCTCCTGCATGCACGGATCATCTGATTCATTATTTACACGACTAAAGGTGTCCGCCGCATGGAAACGTTACAAAACAGCAGAGCTGATTTGTCTGCTCAGAGCTGGGATCACCACAACACTGTGTGTGTGTGTGTGTGTGGTGTGTGTGTGTGTGTGCTAGAGTGGAAGCAGGGTGGATAAAGAGCAACGTGTGTTGATACAGTATGTAATAGAGAGATTACCATACAGATTTATGGATAATCTGACTGACAGCTGACTGGTAAATATGCGCAGATAGATGAAGAATGTCTGTGATTCTGTCGCTTGCTCTGTTTTATTCCAGATAACTAGGCTGTCTTTGATTAATATATAAAAAAAATACAAATACTTTGGTTGTTTAATTGTATGCTAACCATGTGGTGCAAGAACTCCCAAGTGAGAATCACTTCACTGTAATATATATATATATATATATATATATATATA